ATCACGGCTATGTTGCTGTAATTATTTATGACTGCAGCCTTCTGCAGCAGAACTCCTGCAGCAGCAATCACGAGTTGCTGTTCTCTGGAGTGGAGAAAACCCAGCAACAAACGACTCGTGACTGAAGCGCGGGATCAGATGATCAGTTCATTCAAGATTAGAAACACAGTAAGAATAAAATCCATGCAACTACCTTCCCCTCCTTCAAGAGGTAGGGGGGAAAGGAAGGGATCTGAGTACCTGTAAAGAGGGCGTGGTAATGTAGACCCTTCTCTTTATCCTGATGAGAGCAGACATCAAATAAATATGCTTTGATGGGGCCATCAATAAAATCAGCTGCAAAATCAAAAAGCACTACTCCCAGCATGGTAACAACTATTGCCCACGTCCGCCGATTGTCTCTCTCATGGATGACAGCTACAAAAAGAAAAACGACCTCATTCTGACAGCAACAGTGCCATATTCTGCAAAACCACATTGTATCTTTCCTGATACCTCCAAATCTAAACAATGCTTTATTATGCAAGAGAGAGCAGCGATGCCAGAATCACATCAGAGAAGCGGGGTAACTGAGTCTGTGTAGCGCTGAGCTGTGCTAGGTTGACTTACTGCCTTAAGTCAGCACAAGCTCAGGGTGCTCTAAGCTCCACCATCAAGAGCATCACTAGCCTTAATCTACTCCTTCGCACCTCCACGGCATGCTCTGGTAGCCTAACACACATGCATTTTGTACTACTCTTTTGCTTTATTCTATTTGTCCCACCCTTCCATTGTTTTAGATAATCAAGAGTTGACTGTAACATCTCTTTTTGGGCAAATCAATAAAAGTATATTCAACACCACTGATATCCAGGAAGAGAGAATAAATCAATCCATAAAAACACACACCTCCCCCCTCTGCCAAGTCATAAGGACAGCAATAACTTTCCATCAAGACTTTGAGAAGTTACATCCCAAGCTGAAATATAACGGTATCTAGGGATGTCACTCCTATTTGATTTTTCATATTGCAGGTGCAACACAGTTTCCAAGGAGTTACGGATTTCTGTTATTCATCAGCATAACAGAGCCACATGTCAAGCCAGTGCTGCATTAATGAGAGATATGTATTTTGAATGCTAATCCATCTAAAACAGGGATTAACAGACACTCAGTTTGGATGTTTATTACAAACCACAAACAATATTGATCATTTAACTTAACAAGGTAGATTTTAGTTTATGAGAACTTCTCTGGGCCTAAGCAGTACTTTACTTGTATGAACTGATCAGGCAACCACACCACCATACAACATACTGTAATCACACACAGAAACTACAGAACACTATGTACAGGGTACATAACATGCCGCATTAGGATTGAACGTATATGAAGATTTTGGTGTTCCCCAGCTGCTTCGATGCAGCTGGGTAACAGGACACCCAATTTTAACTGTCCGTTTTAGCAGGGAAAAAAGGAACCCTTCTTTTCTTTCAGATTCAAAAGGCTAGGATGAGTTTTGTCTGTCAGCACAGCGTATACCCCTCACTCACCTGAGATCATCACGTCCCCATTGAGGTACAAAGCCATGCCTAACAGCATTATGATGCCCAGACCCAGAATGTAAGGTCGCCTCCTGCCCCAGCTACAGGTGCAGTGATCGCTGGCTGAACCTACCACGGGCTGCAGCATGAAGCCCAGGATAGGGCTGATGAGCCACACCAGGCTGTAGAGGTGCTTGGGCAGCCCTACAGTGAGAAGTACCGGCGTGACAAAGGCAGCCTCCACGGCGTAGCAGAACTCCCGGCCGAACATCGCCATGCTGTGCATGACCAGCCTTCCCACCGCTCCCTTCTTCGGCACCACTGCTCCAGTTCTCGTCACAGATTGCAGCAGAGTCTCTGCCTTCTCTCTGATGCTGTCCATGTCGGCCCTGGCCATCTCAGAAGGGGGTGGAAGAGCCCCGTGGAAGTTCGCTTCCGTTAAGGTCATCGCTCTGGCTACACACAGCGCTCCAGCAAGTCGGTGCTGCCTGCCCTGGCTGACCTGGAGCCCAGATCATATGCTGGGTGGGATCGGTCTGTGCTGGGGGAGGGACTCACATACTTTCATGGCTCTGTGATCACAAGTTATGAAAGAAAGGGGGCAGGGAAGCATGTGTTAACATTAGCAGATCTGAGCTCTTGGGCATCTGCAAAGCTCCCAACTATCCACAACTGAAGAACTACTGTTTAAGCATGAAACACACATATAACGGGAACATATACCACATGGGCGAGGCGCAGGATTAGCGTGACACAAAGCTAGAACGCAGGATTAGCGTGACACCAAGAAACCAGAGCCCTCATCTTTCTGTTCAGCAAACAACAGGAGCACCAGACAGAGCGCCGATTTCCTGCTG